CAACGAAAGTAAATTACTGAACAACACGACATAGAACGTGATTGTCCTCGATGATGAACAATTAAAGGTTAAAGTTGACAAGATGACAAATATACTACATACGTAAATAAAAGAATTCGCTTTCTATAAAACGCTAAAGTCTATGAAAATATTTGATAGAAATTTATATCTATTCAATATTATTTAACAATTTAACAACATTATTCAATTTATTATTATTTAGCTTCAAAAGATCATAGCGGGTATACTCATTGTATATTTTGAGTAGATTAAAACGTTACAAACTATCGCTGGGCTATTTTCATTACATTGTAACCACAATTCATGACGAAAGAATCTTTAGTTTGATTTGCTCGCGCCACTATTCTTCGCCAAACGATTAATCGAATTTCTTTAGCAAAGCTCGAACGAGCGTGAAAACACCAAATCATTTACATCTTCTCTCATCGATGATTGGCTAAGGAAAGTTCTCGAAGTTAGATAACAACTGCATCAAATCATTTCCACCCCTCCCCCACCCCACCCACCCTTCGTCTTCTTTTCATTCGCGTGCCATTTCTCTTCTCACTCTCTTTTCCTTTTACGTGTCATCGTTTAAATACCAGATGTTTTCTATTTCTATTTAATTATTTTTTATATAATATTTCTATTTAATTAATTTTATAATATTTATATATATATATATTATATATATCCATTTAGATTATTATATATATTTTATATAATATTATATTAAAATGTGAAACGTTCAAAGAAGATTCGAGATGATTCGAACACCTGGGACTTTCCGATTTCTAAGCATAAACCTAAGTAACAAAGCAACCACTCACTTCGTATTAAATTATATATAGTATTATTATTCATATATATTAATAATTATAATTATTATATATAATATTATATATTTAAAAAAAAAATATTTGTGATTACACACCAAGTTAATTTCTTCCAAAGAAAAATATCGAAAAACACTGAAAAAATGATCCCATTTAAATTTCACAGCCGTTTTTATTAACGTGTTACTTTATTATTACTAAAAAAAAAAAAATAAATTCAATATCGATTGAAAAAAAAAAAATAATTGATATTCGTTAAATTTATCGTCTATAGGTTAATATAATATTATTCTTCTTCTTTCTTCTCGAGTTTATAATCGTGAAAGTTGTTCCGTTCATGACCTCTTCTTCGCCATTACACATACATTATACACACATGCACACATATGCTTGCCATAAAGATTCTCTCTTTCTTCTCTCCTATCGTCACATGACTCTTCTTCCCATATGTTCTTTATTTCCGTCTGTTCGAAGGGCTCTCTTTTCTCATTTTTTTTATCGAATAACACGTAAAGCTAATATTAAAGTCACATTGAATACTTTTTTTACGATTCTTCTGTGAAAAATGATTAAGTAGATAATATTTTCTCAATTTTGATAATAAACGTTACGTTAATATTTCCTTTATTTGTCAAATAACTGTAAATGTTTGAATATTTGACAAAACAAAATTTGACAAAAAGAAAATTACGGTTTTTTTTTTCCTTTTTAGTCAGAGAAATATTTCAATCAGGTTAGATTACACGCTTTCAAATGATTAGAATCGAAGTGTGACGATGATATTTGAAATTTGCACTAATACAAGAAAAATATCAACGTTTATTATTTTCTTTAATTTTTTATTTACAAAATTTCCAAATACCTTGAATCACTAATTCTTTCTTTACGATTACTAATACTTTTGTGCAATTTAAATCGAACATACAAAGAAGATACTTTTCAAATGTGAAAATGAGGAAAATTTGTTAGTGAATTAAATAACTTCTGGGCATATATTAATTTGTTAAATGTAATTGTAAATGAATAAATTCGTCAAAAAAGATTTTCTAATATTTCTACCAAAATTTAATTAAATTAGGTTGCACGCTTTCGAATTGTTGCAATCTAGAACAGGTGTAACAATATTATTACAAACCTTGAAAATACGAGCACAATAAATTCAACAATGTATTTCTCATTTTTTTTTTATTTTTTTATTTTTTTTTAAATACCAGAAAAGAAATCCAACGTTTCTCTTTTTTTATTATTATTATTATTATTATTTGTATGTCATTCTTTATTTTCGTTTTATATTTTAATGCAACACACAACACACACACATTTTACAAAATTCTTGCAAAAGGCCTGAAAATGTGAAATAAAAAAAGAAAAAGTGTCCAAAGCTTTCCTTTATTATTTTATATTTCGTTTTATTCGAGATTTTATTCGATGCAACATTTCGCAAAAATATTACAAGTCTGAAAATACGGGAATTAAAAAAAAAAAACAAAAAAACAAACAAACAAAACGCACTTTGTGTTATTTTTTTTTTATTTTATTTTATTCTCTTTCTTCATTTTTCTTGTTATTTTGCAATGCAACATTTCGCGAAGTTAAATATTGCGAGTTCGAATAATACGAACAAAAATATTCAACGTTACTCATTCGTATTATTTTCTACATTTGTATTTTTCTATTTTACTTCTTTTCTATTCTTTTTCTTTTTTTTTTTTTTTTTCGTAATATTATTCAGAATAAGTAAAATTCGATTTCACTTGAATTTCACACTATCGTTGTCGTCAGATCGTTTCTCTGGACAATGGTTGAGGTATCGCTTTCTAGAAGATGACTAGCGTATACTAAACTAACGTATAAGTATATATATATACATAAGTAAGTATACTTAAATTGTCATAGAAAGTAAAGAGACACGGGGTTGCAAACAAAATGCAATTCAAATCAATTTGAAAGAAATCAAAATTCGTTTGGATTTACTTATATTTATATATGATACATCCATTTGTTAAAAGAAATCTCTCTAACAATATATTTCTTCCTCTTTCGAAGAAGAATAAAAAAATATCTAAGACTTTCTATGTTTATCGTTTAGTTCGATAAGATACGCTACGACACGACTATTTTAATATATCAGAAAGAATTCAAATCTATCTATCCCATTGGTTGATACAACGAAAAACCGTTAAGATAATTCCAACCAATCTCGAATTATATTTATCGCGAGTGATCTTATCAACAAGAAGATTCTATTCATGCAGGCATTCAATTCACTTAGATTCAGTAGATATACAAATATGAATATACTTTCATATTAATTATAATATTAAATTATATTAAATAATATTTAATCTATAATAATAAAATAATAAATTAAAATGATTGTAATTAAATCGTAATATATCAATGTTGTTTAATTATTTAACTTTGTTCAATGTTAATGTATACCAAAATGATAATCTAATTTATATAGAACGATTTCCAAACAAGAATTTGAACGTACCTCGATAAAAAATACAACATAGAAAAATCCAGTTAATAACCGGCAATGAGAATCTCTGAGAGAAAGTATTAGTAAAAGAAAGATCTATTTTATCGATGCACAAACAGCATCCTGAATTCCTACTAGTCTTTTAAAGAAACATTCTAAAGAAAATTTCTATCTTATTGTCGTCATCTCTTTCTCTTTGTTTTTTTTTTGTTCTTTTGTTAATAAGCTTTCGACAAATAGAAAAAAAATACAACTCATTGTCAATCTTCGTTATTTTATTTATACACAATATAATTATTCTTGTTGAAACGTTGTTATGTAAATATCAATAATATTATTATAATAATATTATAATAATATATAATTATTATTAAAATTAATCAATAATATTCTCAATACTGCTTATTTAATTTAATGTGTATCAGTGAGTTGCTTCCCGAAAAATAAATGCAAAAAGACAAATATTATACGAGTCGTGTTCATAAACCAATGTGGTAAACTTAATAAAATAAAAAAAAACGTTATTTTCTGCGATAATGCTTTGTATTGTATGCACGTTATCCATTTTCTGAATTTTCTGTCTATTCTGCGTAATCACTGTCACTTTCACATTTACTATCTATTACCCTGATTTTTCGCCTACTTACACCTCTTACCTCATCGCCATCTTCATCACGCTTTTCTCCTCTCTATTTTCAAATAATTTATGCATAGATCTTATTTTATTCCTAATTGATGAAAAATCAAAATTATCTTCACTTTAATCGATTACTTCATCATATTCATTCCGTGCTCATTAAGCTTCGTAACTTTGAAAATAATATTTCTGTGGTCACGAATATTGAATTCAAACTAACTTCAAAGACATATATATATATAACAATGCATGTAAAAACTTATTTATGATTAAATATTGTTAGTTTTTTTTTGTACGCATGTATTGTTGAAGATATATGAAAATTAATAAACATTTTTATCACTCGAATTATCGTATGTTTAAATCTAATGGCCACCGAGAGTAATCTCTTGAATGCAAACGAGTTAAAATACGATTATAAAAACAACTTTTTATTAATAATATTCACGAACGATCAATGTTTTTGAAGAAATATTAACAATTATTTAAATAACGATCACTAGTACATATAATAATGAAAAGACAAAACACGTGTTATTTATATAGAAATACGAAACACGAGAGATATATCGAAAAGTATAATATTAACAATAACATATCGACTAATTTCAACCTAGATACTTGTCGTATCGCTGTGCGCGCGCATCTTAAAAATTCACTCTCATTACTTTGTTCCCCAAACGCGCCAAAAACGAATTATAATTTCATCAAAATATTATTTAATTTCATTGAAATTGATCAAAAATATCGTAAAATATTCTAAAATAAGTTTAAATGTATTGGTTGGTTTTTGAACGACTTATATTTCGAAAATAATACTCCCTTGTATTTTGTACAGCTTCCTCACCATACGAACGAACGAACGAACGAACGGTAAGCAGGCAAGCAAGCTGGTTGATGTTTTCGCCGAGTGATCATCTCCCCCCTTCTGGCCCCCTGCCCCTCTCCACCCCCATTCGACGACAACGGCCCCCACGTAAGTCGACCAATCGTTCTCTTCTCTTTCGACCGACCTTCCCTCCTATCCCTCTAACGGCCGTCCGTAGAAGACTTCGGTCCGATACACGGCGCCAGTTCGAACCGAGAGTCCGTACCTACGAGAAGTATTATTCGCTTATTAAAAACATTTACTTTCTCTCTCTCTCTCTTTCTTTCTTTCTTTCTTTCTCTCTCTCTCTCTCTCTCTCTCTCTCTCTTACTCTCAATTGATATATTATCGAAATGTTTCTTTCGTTTGTTTTTTATTTCTATTATTAAATAATTAAAATAATTTATATTATATATTTAACAAATAAATTGTATTCAAGTTAAAAAAAAAAAAGGAAAAAACATTTCGCGATTTATAAATTTTGACAGGATGACTGAAAGAAACAAATTTTTCATTAGTTAAATTGAACAAGTGATAATAAATAAAGAGAGAGAGAGAGAGAGAGAGAGAGAGAGAAGATATAAGAAAGAAGAAGAAGAAAAGTCACGTTCGAAAAGAACGTGCGTGTAGGATCGATGAGAAACGCGCAACAGGTTCTTCTCTCGCAAATCTTTTTTTTCTCCCTTTCTTTTGACTAACTCTCTTTCGTCTTCTTCGTCGATCGCGTCTTCGTCGTCGTCGTCCGTCGTCGAACTTCGTCTTCGTTTTCATCTTCGTTTATCTTCGCCATACCACGTGATCTATCCCGGGGGAAAGAGAGGAAGAGAGATAGATAGATACTAACTTCAGACTGCAAAAGGGATATATATACATATATATATATCTTATTTCGCAACGGGGGTTTTTTTTTTACGAAAGATAGGGGAGATACATAGTGAATTTTTTTTTCTTTTTAGTTTGAAAAAATTTTCGACAAATTTTTCGTCATTCAATGATGTTCGTCGTTTTCTTTGTAACAACCGGTGAAAAAGAAAGAGAGATAGAGAAAAGAAGAAGAAGAAGAAGATAATAATAATAAAAAGAAGAAGAGGAGGAGGAGGAAGAGGAGGAAGAGGATGCTGTTAAGAACGAAGAGGAGTCATTTCGTCACGGAATAACTATCACGTATAGATAGAATCCTATGGTGGTGCTACTGCTTCTGCTTCTGCTAGCTGCTACTAGCTGCTGTTTGCTGTAAAATAGAAGGAAGAGAAAAAGAGGGGTGGGGAGGTTAGGAAAGAAAATAAAAGAAATATATACATACATACTTACATATATAAAAAGAAGGACGAGAGTGTTAAGGCCGGTCGAAGACCTTCGTATATAAACTGTATGAAGTAAGACAAGAGACAGAAACTAAAATTTCATGGTGAAAGTGTACGAACTTTAACGAATCCAATCGAATCCGATCGAATCGAATCGAAACGTTGTCATCGTGTGTTTGATTTTGAATCTTTTTCATTTCAAGTTTGAGTTTTTTTTCTATCTTTTTCTTTTCATCTTCCTATAGATTTTTCTATTATTCGTAATAAAAAAAAAAAGGTGTTGTTAACGCGTTGAGAAGAAGAAATAATTTAGTTGTGCATTATCGACCTTGTCAAAAGAGTTTCCTGTCAAACTTCGTCTTTTTTTTGGAGGGTGGGGGTGGGGGGTCTGGGGAATTTTTATCTCTCTCTTTTTTTTCTTTTTTTTTTTTTAATTCAATTCTTTTCTCCTTTTTTTCGTAATGTTGTCGCTTCACGGATGCCGGCACGTTGACCCCTTGTCGTCTCTTTTCTCTTCGAATACGCGTGCCCCTGTTGGTGGTGCGGTGTCGACGGCAACAACACAACGACTCATGCATACGATCAAAAGATATAATCCTACTACTACTACTACTACTACTATTTATAATACTTGGACCAAACGAGATGCTGCTTCTATACCCTCCTTTCATACCGTTAGATATTGAATGGATCCGTTTCGAGAAATCGCACACGATAGACGCGTCCAAATACCACGACGGCTACACCACTCGAGTCAAACTCGACCGACTTCCCTTTGACTAAACGTAAGTCCTCCTTTATATCTTTTTAAATATTTGTTCACAATTTTTCTTTATTCTATTTTCTAGACTATATTTATGTTTTGAATTTTTTCAAAGGATTTATACGTATTTTTATTATTATACGTACCCATATAATTATGAAATCGAAATTACATGTTGAATTATATTTGAACATTAAATGAATTCTATAATATAATATTGATGTAACGAATATTATCTAACGATTGATTTTTAACAATATTGTGAAAATAATACGTGTGAAATAACTGATATAAATTCAATTTTGATTTACATTAGACCATTTTTATAATTATGAGTAATTCATATATATATATATATATATATATATATATATATATTAATAATAATTGACTTGAAACACATGTTCCAATGTCGAAACAATTATTTTCCCTTTTATTAAATTTTTTTCTTCTTTTTTTTCTTTCAACATATGATTGAGATAAAAGAGTTGAAATAACTTCCGATTTTTCATTTCCGCTTGATAATTTATTATCATGGATATTTTCTTCTTCTTATCCTTTTTATTTTCTACCTTGTGCTCGTCCTTGTATATATATATATGTTTCTTTATTACGTGATTGTTTCCCTTTTGATAAAAATCTATTATACGTTAGTAAAGATGTCGATTTTCTTATCGTTTTTTTCTTTCTTTTAATTGTATTTCTAAGTAATGGAAGAATCATACGCGGAACAATCTCATTAATGATCGCTATGGAAATATGATATATAAATTATATAATAATTACGATATATATATATAATTTATATCTAATAATATTATTTCGATTAAATGATCCAAAAATGTAAATTTCGTAAGAAAAATTTTGAATAATCAGGAAACTGTGATGAAACATTGCAAGAAATTGTTCTAAATAAATCGAATTAATGTTTGAACGTTTTCAGCTTTACAGATCAATATCTGTTCATCTTAATTCTGTTTTCTTAATCACTTCGTTTAAGGGTTGTTTAGGAAATATTAAATAGTCCTTGATAGGAGTAACGGTATATCTTTGTTTTTTTTTTTTTTTAAATAAACAGACTCATCGAAGTTAAACTACTTCTAATTTGTACTTTAATTTACGATTTATTGCATAATTAAAATTACGTGCAATCTTATAAACGAGGTCAAGACGATAATCATTCGAAGATGATGCAGACGGTCAAGTTGTTAGAGGATACATAAATTAAAATGCACGATAATATGCAAATAACGATGATAAATCCAATTGGTTCGTGAGAAATAATAATCAAAAGAAAATAATTCTAAAAGGAAAATTAATTATAAACTATTAAATGATATCTTAACTGTTCTTAATTGATTATTTAATTATTCTTCAGATTTCAAAAAAAGAAAAAACTATATATAAGATAAAGGAAAAGTTCGTAGATAATTAAAGGAATAACAATGATAAAAATCACATTGCAAGGGTACAACCTCGTAAAATATGTAAATGAATGTTTTTAAGTTGTTAAGAAAAAGAAAAGTTGGAAAAAATTATTAAAAAAAAGAAGGCTATTAAATGGTAATAATTATCATGCAAATGTGTTTTTAGTATACGCATCTATCGATAAACAAGTGGATAATTATGCAGAGAGAAACGTTTGTTTTGTTTAGAATTTTTTTTCTTTTTTTTTTTTTTTAATATTATATTTTGTCTTCTTGAACGTTTAATAAGTAGAACATAAAACCGATCGACAAGTTCTCTACTCGTTTTATCGAGATGCACGGATTCGGAGCGTTTCAATGGTGACAAAGAGAAAGTCCTCACATGAGAAAATAAAGAACGTGGAAAACGACAAAAAAAATTAAAAATAAAAAATAAAAAATAAGAAAAGAGAAAATTATCCTTATCAAGATCTCATTTTGATTTTGAAGCTTAACTTCTAGCGTTATTATCTTGAGTATTACAAATTTTCTTTTTTTTTTCTTTCATTATCTTTCATATTGTTCATATGTCATTTATTTATCATTAAATTGCACTTATAATACGCCTCACGTATATTATATATATATAATTATAAATTTATTATATTTTTATAATGACTTACATGATCCATCGAGACGAATTTGTAATCTTTAAAATTTATCATATAAAAATATATGATTATAAAAGAGTAAGAGAAGAATCATTGTTTAGTATGACAATAGAAAAAATATCGTTGATCTTTCCCAAGTACCTATCTACCTACCTACCTACGTACCAATTTCAAGGTCATTAATAATTTTTCTATGTTTTTATACGCCACGTTAGAGAAACACCGAGATTTTCCTATCTTTCTCTTTTTCTTTTTCTCTTTACTTAAAACAAAAGAAATCCTTGTTCATGCTTCGTTTAGCCTAACTCTTTATTATTTTAAACGAGAAAAGATCTAGTCTTGAAAAAAATATAAAACATTTGTTTTTCTTGTTTTATTTAAATATATATATATATAGAATTAAAGATAATAAATGTCGTTCTAATGAAATAAAACATAAGTATAGCTTATAAATGCAATAGCGGTTAACAGAAGGTGGTCAACTGTAACTGGAGTAAGAACTAAACATATATATATATATATATAAAGTATAACACACGAAACAACATGAAATTCAACGACGCAAATCGTAACGTAATACTGAAAACAATAACATTGAGACGGATCTTTGATCATGAGAATAATTTATTTGTTTATTCGTACAATTTGAATAAATTAATCATAAAATAGGTATATTGATTATATATATATAAATAATCTTATACAAATAAAATATAATAAAATTAATATCTTATTCTTATATTTATAGTATTTTATTTTATATTAATTTAACAAAATAAAATCTCGTATTAAATACGTATGCATGTGTATGCATGCATGTGCATGCTGTATGTATATTGGAAAAGTTTGGTGTGCATTCCTAAAAGGTCGATGAAACAAGCTCGAAGAAATATGTCGAAAGAACAAAATTTAATCAATCGACTGTCAAGACCAACGCTTCCTATTTTTATTTATTTATTTATTTTATTTTTCTTTCTTATTTTTTTTTCTTTCTCTATCGCTTTTCTCATTTTACAACAAGTACTACTACTTCAATCACGTGAAATAAGATGTTAAGTTGGTAGTGTTAGTGTTGGAAATTGTAAACGAAGAAAAAGAAACATCGGTAAGCCGATAAATCGACGTTGTCGCTTGGATGATCATCGATCATTTGACCTTTTTGCAATCGATCCTACCGATCTATGAGAAAGTCTTCTATGATTTCACTAGGTTCATTATTATTTTTTTTCCTTTTTTTTTTTCTTCTTTTTTTTTCATATTAAATCAAGAATTTCAATTAAATTTTTTCTTTGAGTGTCTATCACTACGATTTCTATCTTTCACTTTTTTTCTATTTTTTTTTTTTTAATTTTTTTATCTTTACGATTTTTAAAAATTTATCTCACAAAATTTGATCTCTACAATTCTCATCTATTTTTTCTTTTTTTTTTCCTGTTGCATTTTCTCTTCTCCTTTTTTTCATTTTTATTTTTATTACTTATGTAAGATTATGTAAAAAATAACAAATAAAATATTTGTATCAAAATGAGATAAAAATAATTGAGTAATGGATAGGATATTTTAAGCTTATTTTTTTCTCTCTCTCTCTCTTTTTTTTTTATCTTCTTCTCGATATAGAATGCAAATATTTTTTGCAACTTCGAATGTCAAAACCGAAAGGTGACGTTATATATTTTTTTTTATATTTTTTTTTTATTCTTTTCAATGTACACGATAGAATATATTCGTGCACGCATGATATCATGTCGTTCAAAGTTCAATTTTGTTACGTGTCTCGTACATTTCACTTTTGATTTACGAAGGATTTTTATTTTTTTAATTTTTATTTTTATTTTTATTTTGTCAGTTTTTATTTATTTTTTCTTAATTCAATGCCAATATATAAATATGTTTATGCGAGTAAACGAGAATACAGGATCGTCTCAAGTAGATGACTACTTGATGATTATATTGGGTGTTTTTTTTCTTTTTTTTTTTTTTTTATTCTACACGAAACAGACGAGTTTCGGTAGTGAAAGAATTCGAAACCCTCACCACCTCGACGACCATCATCTACAGTGGTGTAGAATTCGGTGAATTTCTACAAAAATTTCGTTTATCTTTGCTTTCACGGTAATCCAATTTATTGTTTATTAACTGAAGTATTATACTTTTTTTGTTGTTGTATCAAATGTACTAACTGAACACTGAGTTCTTCTTTTTTTTTTTCAAACGTTTGATAATAATATTGGAAACTAAAAATGATGGATATAACTTGATATCATTTTTATAATTAGTTTATATGTATTGTACAAATTGTTTGCGAATTGTAGCAATAACAAAAATAGAAATTAATATAAAAAAATCTTATCTTATGTTTGAAATAAATATTGAATATAAAAAAAAAAAAAAACGAACTTAAGAACTTACGAGCTTATTAAAAATTTGATTTGATTGAACGTATGTAAGCCACTGTATAGTTTATAAACATTTGATGAATTATGAACAATCGAAGAAAAAAGTAAACAAATGAATAAATCAAATACACCCGATAAAAATATTTTTCGAAACATTTGGGGATATGTCCCAAATATTTCTATATAAAATACAAAATGACACAAGTATTAAAATTATTCGACGTCATTTACACGTCATGCTGCTTTATATAATTTTCACGCATAACTGAATAAAAAAAAAAAACAAAAAAAAGTAAAATAAAAAAACAAATGACGCAGCAGTACAACCAACGCACAAATATTGAATGAGAAAAAGAAGAAAATGAAAAAAATTAAGAAAAAAATAGTTTGATAAAAAAATAGTGGTTGGTTTGAAAAGAGACAAAGGAATACCACACCTAGTATATAAAATAATTCGACGTATGTACTCTACGCCACTGTGTGGGTGGTACGAGTCGACTCGAAGCGGGCTTTCGATTTATCTTTTCGCCTTTCCTTTTTGGAGCATGG